ATTTTGAGACAGGGTCTCATTAAATTACCCAGCTGGTCTTGAACTCATGACTCTCCTGCCTCAGCATCCGTGAGTTATAATGCCAGTCTTACATAGAAGAAGGAAGGGAAGCACTCAGATTTTTTTTTTTTTTTTGGCACCAGCATGACCATGAAAATAAAACTGGGCAGGATGTTTTTTTAAAAAGGAAAATTATACAGGTTGGAAGTGGATCAGTGGAGAGCATTTACCCAGCATGTGTGAGCCCTAGGTTAGATGCCCAGGGCAAAGAAAGACAGGGTGGGGGAGGAGAATTGAAGGCCAATAGATGAGAAATACTATCAAATCAAATCAATCAATAATAATCAGTCACAAGTTCCAGGACAGCCAGGGCTACACAGAGAAACCCTGTTTCGAAATGCCCCCCCCAAAAAAAATAAAATAAACAAATAAATAAATAATTGCAAAGTTTTTCATGGCAGTGGTGGTGCACACCTTTAATCCCAGCACTCAGGAGGCAGAGGCAGATGGATCTCTGTGAGTTTGAGGCCAGCCTGGTCTACAGAGTGAGATCCAGGACAGGCACCAAAGCTACACAGAGAAACCCTGTCTTGAAAAACAAACAAACAAAACAAAACAAAACAAAACAAAAATCCAGAGCTTTTGTGTTCTTTTTAATGTGTGTGTTTGTGGTGTCTCTGGAGAAGGGGGATATGAGGGAGGAGGAGATGTGTGTGTATGTGTGTGGTATATGTGGTGTGTGTGTGGTTTATGTGAGGGGGTGGTATGCGTGTTTGGGGTATATATGGGGGTATGTGTATACAGTATGTGTGTGAGTTGTGTGTGGTATATATATGTGTGGTGTGTGTGTGTATGTGTGTTGTGTGTGGTGTGTATGTGTGTGGTGTGTATGTGTGTGTGTGTGGGGGGGTGTTTGTACCCCTGTGTATGCCCCGTGCTGGTGCAATGCAGGTACATATGAAGACCAGAAGTTGATATCAGAGTGGTTTTTCTTGATCAATTCTCACCTTTTAAAATAATTTTTAAATTGACTTATTTGTGTGTGTGCACATGCATGATGTTCGTGGGTGCACACATACCATGGCATGGGTAAGGAGGTCAGAGAGCAATTTGTGGCATTAGTTCCTCACTTCTACCCTATGTAGGTTCTGGAGGGCTCACTCAGGTGACCCAGCTCATGTTACAAGCACCTTTACTGCTGACCTGTCTTGCCAGCTCAACCTTCCATTTTGAGACAGGGTCCCTATCAAGCCTGAGGCTGAGCAGCGTGACTGGCTGGCTGGCAGTGAGCCCCCAGGGATCAGGCTGTCTCTGGACTCCAGTGCTGGGATTACAGGCATGTGGGGATTTGAACTTAGGTCCCCTCACTTGTTCAGCAATCCCCCCCCCCTTTTTTTAAGATTTATTTATTTATTATGTATACAGTGTTCTGCCTGCATGTATCCCTTTAGGCCAGAAGAGGGAGCCAGATCTTATTACAGATGGTTGTGAGCCACCATGTGGTTGCTGGG